ACACACACACACACACACACACACACACACACACACACACACACACACACACACATACACACACACACACACACACACATATTACACACATCGGTGGAATTACAAACAAATTTGTCACTTGCTTGATGGATTTGTGTCGTCAATCCCGCTGTCACATGTTCCACCACCTCTCCCCCCACATCTGGCCATCACCCCCACCACAAACTGCAGCACGACATTGCCCTCCTTCATAGCACTAGCCACCACTCCGATTTGAGTGACCACTTGTTGTGCACCATCTATACTAGCCCGTGCGAGAGTCCTCTCTGCATTCCCGATACCGTTACACAGAGTGTGTGTGGACTCCTCCATAGAGAACCCCATCTGAGAGTTTTGACCGCAGCCTTCGTCCCCAGAAGCCTTCCCCTTCTCTGTTCGGCGAGACTTCTTGCCGCTTTCCGAATCTTCTGTCGGTGCGCTGCCCAAGGCTCCCTTGTTGGACCCCACAAAGTCATCGTATGGTCGTACATGGTCGACCTCTTCCCCTCTACCCATGCCATCTCACCCGCAACTCCTCTTCGAAAAGGAATGTCAATCCTTCCTTCTTCTTCTCCTCTTGCAACCTGTCCCAGAATGCCGGTTTCCCAGACCCACCGCACTTGTCCTTGATCTCCCTGTAGCCTGTACTTGTTATGCAGATCAGCCCATTTCTTTTGCACGTCTTCCGCCGATCTGTGATACTCGTCGACCTTCATGCGCCTCACCACCCAGGTGTTCCTCAGCGACCGCCGCTGATGTTTTTGTCTCGGCGGGGAGGCGACCATCATCGCGTCGTCCTCTCTCGTATACCTCACGAGGGCCACCTGCTCTTCCGAAGACCAATTCCTCTTCTGCTGCTTCCCTCCTTCCGTGTTGTCATCACTCTCCTCCAGGCTCACCAGCCACCGAATCGGACGATACTTGTTTGCCGGGATTTGTCTTCCGTCCTCTACTCGACTTTCCGCTACTTGGAAGAGCAGACATCGCAGGGGATGTAGCATCATCGCCGATTCATCGGGAAGGGGAGTGCCTTGCCGGACCTGCCCACATTGCGGAGTGGGAATGGTTTGGGTTTCCGTCCCTTTGCACGACATGCTCACTGCCTACCCTGCCAATGTCGGTGAACGAGATGGATCTGGTGGAGGTCTGAAGCCATACAACGGCTTGTGTCGGGAGCCATGTACGTCGCTGCGTGCGATGATGCCTTGCCTGCGTCCTGGAAGCGGTGATGAAGATACGGCACCTGCCCTGACATGACAGGAAAGTTGCCTTGCAACGGATCCACCCCTTGCGCCAAACCCGCAACTATCGATGACAAGAGGGAGGGTGGAGGCGGGCCAAAGTTCACAGACGGCAGGCGACCATAACCCATTGGATCGTGATTCCAAGCAGGGACTGTCCCATAGCTGTCGGGGTATGACGCCGCTTGCAGCCTGCTGTCAATGTTAGAAGGAGACGATGACATCCCCATGGCCAGATGGGCCTCAAAGCATCCGCCTTCCTCCCTTTCCCCATCTGTGTTTAACTTCCTGCGAGGATCATCCATGGCATAACGATCTTGTGACCACCGATGTCCGTTCATACTGTCCATGTTCTCCATTTGCCTCAGAGTCTCCCGCAATTTGCTCACCTATGCACTTATCTGCATATCCATCTATCAATCTATCTACTTATCTATCTATCTATCTATCTATCTATCTATCTATCTATCTATCTATGTGTCTATCTATCAATCTGTATATCTATGTGTCTATCTACCTATCTATCTACCTACCTATCTATCTATCTATCTATCTATTTATCTATCTATCTATCTATCTATCTATCTATCTATCTATCTATCTATCTATCTATCTATCTATTTGTATGAATCCTTTCCATGCATCACCGGTCCCTCATGACATACCAAGCGACGAAGCCGATAAACGACAAAAGCAGAACGCTTGCAATGAACAACAGAAAAACACCAAATGCAACGACGAAGAAGAACGAACGCAGGATTGAAGCCAAAGTTGCCGCCTTTGCATCCGTGGCAAGTACCCAACCTGTGAATGACAATGACTGCAGGACCACGACATCCACAACAACAGCATGTGCATGGAGACACTAGCAGCCGACGATCTGATCGAGAGTTGCACGCCACGCCTTCACGATTTCTCACCACAAGGATCGAACCCTCTATTAAACGAGCGTGGCATGCCTGATCCCCCAATATCCATGGGTGCTTGAGCTGCCACACACCAACACCCGGCCTGCTCTGATGTGCCGAGAGAACTCCACCATCAAAGGTTCCCGAGACAGCCCGCACACCAACGCTGGTGACCGACGGCTGCAATCGAGGGAGGTGAGGGATGAAACCGAACACCTTATCACGCACTCTACCCTCATGAATTTTGTACACACTTGCCGACCTTTCAATGTGCGAAGGTGTCTGCCGTGGGGCGCTCGTAACACAATGCCTGATCTACCAATCGCCGAGGACGGACCTTCGTTTCCGGAGATGGCGCAGACAACCCCCCCATGCAGTGTGCGCGCCAGTCACAAATGTGTGGTGCATGGCTATGGAGGCCGACGTCCACGCACTGATAATGAAGGGAGAAACCAGAATGTGCATGCAGGCAGCCGACGTCAATGTTGTCTATCGGAGGATGTCGCACAAAATCAAAATTTTAAAATCGCCCCCTCTGGGAGCGGGAAAATTCAAAAATCGACAGGTAATGGGGCCTCCCGATCCCACACGGTGCCACGGTACCGGCTCCAACGGTAAGCGTGTGACAATAGCTCATGTCCGGCCTTTTCCCCGCACGACTGAAGTGCGGACCTTCACATGTCCATATTGAAGGGTGGCAACTTCTGTCCGCAGGCTCCAGAGTTCGCAGCCTGGAGGTAGGTAAATGGCTCGACGTTTGGAAAACAGAAAGCTAGGGCCACGTAGGATTTGCCCGGCCGCGGACCGAGTGAAAACGCTTTGCTTTTTTTTTTGCTTTTTTTTTTGCTTTTTTTTTTAATCACCCTCCCCCACTAGTGTCAGTGGTGCTGATAAGAGCAGACACCACTAGCACCTGGGGAGGGGCTCCATTCTATTAGTGGGGCGCATCACCTGCTGGAAAGCGGGTCCAACGTCCCTTACACAGAGTGGAATTGAAGTACATCAAGGAACCATTTGAGGTGATCCTGCCAGAATTGATTACCCTGGGATCCAGGGGATTGACTGAGCAGGATATTTAGGAGGAAGGGGGAACCTCTTCACCCAAAAAAACAACGCCAGATATATCGTTAAACTTTAATTCCTCCCTTCTTTCAAGCCATATTAGTCCAATGAATCCATGCAAGGCTGGAAAACGGGTCCAGCATCCCATTGGCTGCCCTTATTCACCTGTGAACCAGTGGGCTTCAACCATAGCATATGCAGGTGGCGGGAAGAGATCGGGAAAGTGCGCGGGGGGTCGCAGCGGGATGGCGGGATCAATCCTGGTCCAATCGTGAAACTGAAGGCGAGATTCTCTTTTAAGTTTTCCTTGATCCCCTCCCCCCCTTCCTCCCCCTACCCCCCCTCCCCCCCTTTCCATTTCACCTCCGCAATCCAGCCCCATTGTTCTGCCCCCAGCTTTCCAAAGAGTTTAAATTGCTTTTTAATTTCAGTATGTGAATGTAAAAAATCCACTTTTCCTTTATCTCTTTCCCATTGGATAGTAAGGTCTGCTTGAATTCGTTGCTTGATCACTTCTATACCTATTTGCCCTTCGAGGCGTACTCCCTCCATTTCACATGTACATCATCTCCACCAGATTGCCCAGAAAACTGCTCTGCGGCCTATCCTAGACATATTTCCTTCGAAAGGTACTTGCCTGCTCGGGCTGACAGGTTTCACACAGGATTGATTTTCAATCCTATGACCAGGAGATAGTCGTGCCCAATTGCCTCCACACCCGATCCCACCACCTCCACAGCCGGACCGACCCGGTGTGAGGAAACCCGGGGAGGGGTCGCCTACCGCTCGCTGAAGCCAAGGGCAACGGCGCCTGTTACTCGCCGCGCCCGCTTCCGAGGTCCTCAGCGACCAGGGCGGTTCGGGGCTTGTGCTGCCTGTCACGCGCCCACTTAGAGCTTGAGTCTGAAGACCCAGACCATACACTAAAAAAAAAGAAAAATAAAAGGGTGACAAAAGAGGACTGCAGTCCTGCGAATATGAGATCTGTGTCGAGGACCTYGTGGGAACCGTCTCAGATACTCAGGGATATAATCTGCAATTTGTCTGTCCGTGGAACGGGAAGAAGTTTCGTTTGAACAGCAGATTCATCCCGCAGGCAGGGCACATGTGAAACAGGGTTTAAACCTTCGGGGTCCATCCGCAATTTAGTTCAAACAAAATGCGGCCATGTCTCCCCCAAAAATTTAACCTCAGCGAAAGCTCAGTGGGAGTAATCTCTCCAGAATTCCAGAAATATTTCAGGGATCACCTCGACATACCTCCCCCTTTACTTCAACCCCATGCTGGTTTTATGTATTGCCAATGGTTTATACCCCTGGAAAACCCACAGCCAATGGTCGAACTCCCAGCAAACGCTGTGCATTGGGCCGTTACACTCCTAAGGGCATTGACCTGTTGCCCATTCGCAGGCGCTATGATATCAAAGGAACGTTTCTGGTTCCCGCTCCGACTGAAGCTTCCTTTTTCAACAGAAATAGAGTGACAGAACCCAGGGGCGGCATATAATAATAAAATTATTATAAAACTATATATGTTATAATATGTATATGAAATTGTAGTGGACGGAAAAATATCAGGAGACAACTTCCTGCAGCTAATTAACAGCTGAATAATGGTGGAGAGACGTTTCACCATAGAGCCTCATCGATACCGTCTGATTGAGAAAACCATATCAGTCTCCTTCACCCGTTACCCCGCTGCACTTCCTGTAGAGCATGCTGGTGACGATTTTCCCCTTTTCGTTTTACTTCGTTATGTTCAAATGTTCGAACCATCAAGATCCGAACGGTCAAATCAGTCATGTTAAAGGCTTATTGGGCCGTGCATGGTCTGATCTTTAATTAGGAGTTTGTGTTGAGAGAGATGACCCTTAATCGAAAGGGTGGGGGGGTGAAAATCCGCCCAAAAACTTGTGAAGTGTTCATCAATGGAGGATGGGGTCTATTGCAGCCTTCGCGTTATCAACATTGTTGAGTTCCTGTAGTGCTCTCAAGTTCCCCCCCCCTTTTCTCGCTGAGCAGAGAACTCTCTCCCTCTCTCTCTCCCTCTCTCTCTCCCTCTCTGCAGTCTTCCTCTCTAACTGCAGTCTCTCTCTCTCTTTGGGCGTGCACAGTCTCCTCCTCTTTCCCTCCTTCTATGTTCTTCTGGCGTTATGTCTGTTTGAACACGGAATCGAAATCCGTGCGGTCAGAACCTGCGTCTTCAAGTCCCCCTTGGGGATATGCGGTCTGATCTGCAATAGGAGCTGGCAGTGGAGGAAGCTGGTTGACGCCTCATCATCATGTCATAATGGCATGCTAAAATAAAACAAAATA